CTGACAGACGATCGTCGGCGTAACAGATTATAACACCTCGTGGTATCATAGGGTGAAGAAACCTGGAGCGCCCTAAGATAATGCTCAACTATTTCTTGTACTAAAAGTATACGGAATTGTATGGAGCTCTCCGGGATACTTACAGTACAAGCCGTGTGCGTCTTCTCATGGCTCTTCTAAACTAAAGAAAACGGAGGGCAAATGTGGCGCCGGACACAGAGATTGCCTGACGAGAAAACGGAAAACTGATGTCATATTATTTTATTTAAGCTTTTTAAGGATATATTTACAGTCTGCAAACCGTTATATACCTGATCAAGTGAGTGAAACAAGCAGTCGCGTTTTAATGACCACAACAATGATTGGCTTGTCACGATATTACTACGCAACTTCCGCAACGCACGAAAGGAACAATTAAGTCTTACAGAAACATATCTGAGAGCTCTTATTGTTTATATGCAGTACAGTTTCATTTATTTTACTTGAGTCGCGATTCCGTTGCCAGAAGCTTTGTGGCTTTGAGACTGCTGAGCGATTTTTTTTCCAGCATTTTTGCAAGGTTAGCAAATATAGGTTCAGTTTCAAATTTTTAACTTTTGGGCTGGGGAACTTGAACAAATGATCATGATTTACATTTTCGCTGTTCTTTTCGACGAAGTTGAGGCTTGAGTAGTGTATCAGTGGGATGATAGTATTATAGTGTAGCTTCAGTGTAGCCCCTGAAGAAGGTTAGTCCTGTCTAACCCAAATATTACCCTTTCCAGCCGTCCTGTCAGCCTTTGAATTGGTTTTATGCTTTATTTTATACTGCTAATCCTGATCTAAACCAAGAACCGGCTTCACTCCGCTGCTCTTTGTACAAGTGGTCGTTGTATTACAGTTTACCCGAATGATGAGGTGCACGTTTTTCAAAGTGTAATGACATCATGCGAAATTATTTTCATAGCAAAATATTCGCTTTTCTTTTTGACCAAATTGAGGCTTTAACTTGTGTATCAATGGGGTGGTAGTGTTATAGTGAATGATGAGATGCACGTTTTTCACAGCGCGATGACATCGTGTGAGACTATTTTCATTGAAAAATATTTTAAAAATCATTTAAGACTACACACATCGTTGCGAGTCTTCTTTAGCGAGAGTTACCTATCTCGAGCCAAATGACTTCTTGGTCACGTATAACATATTGATGAGCTGCTATCGCATAAATCAGAACATCAGGGTTTTCAGATCGACCAAGCGAGTAGAAATAAGGAATTCTACTGAGGCTTGACGAGCAATGTCTGTTACGCAGCGCGTACCGTTATTCCCGGCAGAGTCAATCGAACCCAACCGAACTGTATTTCAATCGAACTCAATCGCACTAAATCGAACTCATTCGACTGAGTTCGGCAATCGAACCAAATCGAACTCACACCAAAAAAATTGGACAATCGAACTAAATCAAACTTTCGATTTTGAAGTCTTGATTTTATGTAAAACTGGTGTTGAAACTCCGACAATAACAAGTTTTTCGAGGCTAGAGTTACTTCAGTATAACTCGTATGTGCCGAGAAATGGACGCGAGATGTTAAAGTACAACTATCCTCCTGAGTGGTTGAAAATAGTCGAGCATTTGGAATGTTAATCTAAAACAATGAACTTTGTGTTTCTGACTGAGAGTAGAAGTGCTCCTTAAGCTAATTACAACGCTGCGACAGCAATGATTAATCCCTCGCACATTGTCCTCTCCAATATTTGACTCTATTATTCGAGTTGTTATAAAGTAAAGCTTTATAAAAGATATATGTTGCTGACTCCTGGAGACCTGCAACAATAATCAACCCAATTGCAAAATGTATGCTGAGGTAGACTTAGCTTGTAACGTACTCAATGCCAGTGCCCTTGACAATACGTTTTCGTTCTCTTTACTTCATTTCTTTATTAGCCACAGTAATGTGGTTCAATTGTTTGCAGTCTCTTGTTTTTCACTCAATGTTAGTATTACTCTTTCACTTCATTGTATAGAATTCAGTTGAGTCGCGTTTGTCCCATATTTTTTTCCAAATTGACTACCCTTATTTTATTGGTGTTGAATGCTAAAGGGTGTCGGTTGTGACATCCATCAGATGTTCAGTCATCATTTAGCGAGTTATGTCTTATTGGTAGTAACACCAAAATCTTAGATCTTAGACTTTGAACAGTCGTTATAACCACTCTTTATCCATGGTTGACCCTACTGGAATCATGGAATCAACAAAGCTACCCAATCATTGGTAAAAATGATTTTTTTCATTTTCGTGACACAATAAGTTACGATAGCAACAGTATGACCTGCTAAAAGCATACACTTTATTTTAACTTTGGCTGCTAATATCGGAGTGCTAATAACTCAAAAACGAGCTCGGTAAACCCGTTTTTATTATCGCATTTTGATCAGCAGGATTTGACGTAAGCTTCAATTGGCAAAGTTTAAAAAATTCTGCTCATGGGGTTAAGCGCCACCTTAAAGTTTCGAAAATTTAAGGTGGCCTTGAACCCCGAGAACAGAATTTTTTACACTTTGCTAAAGTTTGCGTCTAATTCTGCTCATCAAAATTCGATGATAGAAAATGGGAGTCTCCGAGCTTATTAATATGCTTATTTCACTAGCTTCGTCCTCCAAACCAGCAATACTAAATATTTGCAACAGGGTTTACTCTTTTATGTTTAATGTTTAGATGGGGAATACTCCAAAACTTCACTCCTTGATATCGCTCTAAATACTGAGATGATTGAGTGCTCCTGGCATGCAAATATTCTGTTTTACATGTATTACATGACTTCCTGTATAAACCTGTAAACAAGCCTAACATGTGATTGGCTGATCAAAATCACACCATGATCACGAATGGATGGCGTGATCATTAAAGCAAAGCAGTCGTGTACGTATTCCAGTAATTAATTAACATTACACGATGTAGATGCAGCAGTTAAAATAATAAAACACATTCCGTTCGATCACGCGAGATATCACCTCATTCGACCAATTTCCCCAACTAGACCCTACTGGTGTCGTAGGCTGTTGTAAACTATCGAGTGATTCTAACGTTTGGGTGGTTGCGTGACGACCAAAACAATGGCGAGGGCCTCCTAGTGTGGGGAAGCATGTTGATCCCTTGAAAAGTTCACTTTTTCTCCCTTGCTCCCAATTAATAAACTCCATTGTTCGCTGATTTTATTTTCCAATGTTACCTTCAATAGTAGAGATATCACTTTTTGCCCAAAAATTAATCCCAAAAATATATCCCTTGTTCCCTTGAAATGACCATGTTCCCTCGCTCCTCATCCCACCCGTGAGAGACCCTCAACGTTCTCTAACGAGACTAATATTCTGAGGGGTATAAGAAGGAAAACTCTGAAGTTGTACTTGACCAATATTTCTTATGAGAGCAAGCGAAATTATCTTTGCCGGCCTGTCTAAATTGAATTCTCCTCGACTCATTTGAAGGAATATTTAAATAACAATTTCCATTCGAATTTGCATACATTTACCTCCTCTAAAGAAAACAGAGGGCAAATGTGCCGCCGGATACAGAGCTTGTCTGACAAGGAAACGGAAAACTGATGTCAAATTCTTTATTTAAGCTTTTTAAGGATATATTTACAGTCTGCAAACCGTTATATATCTGATCAAGTGAGTGAAACAAGCAGTCGCGTTTTTAATGACTTCACTAAAGTCCAGAGGAATAAATTAATAAGAAAATTATGAATCTTAGGAAAGCTTGATCTGTAGCAAATCCATGTTTTACCCTTCAGGAGTAAACAGGGTAGTTTCGAACGGTGTTTGATCAGNACATTTACCTCCTCTAAAGAAAACAGAGGGCAAATGTGCCGCCGGATACAGAGCTTGTCTGACAAGGTAACGGAAAACTGATGTCAAATTCTTTATTTAAGCTTTTTGAGGATATATTTACAGTCTGCAAACCGTTATATATCTGATCAAGTGAGTGAAACAAGCAGTCGCGTTTTTAATGACTTCACTAAAGTCCAGAGGAATAAATTAATAAGAAAATTATGAATCTTAGGAAAGCTTGATCTGTAGCAAATCCATGTTTTACCCTTCAGGAGTAAACAGGGTAGTTTCGAACGGTGTTTGATCAGATAAAAGTCGTTTCCCAGAAAAAGCGAAAAACACGAAGGTTATACAATGCCCAACAACACGTACGCGGCTGTGCATAACTTAAAATGATTGGCTATTATTACGCAACGTCCGCAACGCACGAAAGGAACAATAAAGTCTTTAAAAGACACATCTGAGAGCTTTAATTGTTTATATACAGTACAGTTTCATTTATTTTACTTGAATCGCAAGGCCGTTGCTACAAGCTTGGTGGCTTTGAGCTGAGACTGCTGAGCGATTTTTTTCCAGCATTTTTGCAAGGTTAGCAAATATAGGTTCAGTTTCAAATTTTTAACTCTTGGGCTGGGGGAGTTGAACAAATGATCATGATTTACATTTTCGCTGTTCTTTTCGACGAAGTTGAGGCTTGAGTAGTGTATCAGTGGGATGATAGTATTATAGTGTAGCTTCAGTGTAGCCCCTGAAGAAGGTTAGTCCTCACTAACCCAAATATTAGACCCCGGGTATTAGACATTGAATTTACCCTTTCCAGCCGTCCTGTCAGCCTTTCGATTGGTTTTATGCTTTATTTTACATTACTAATCGTGATCTAAACCAAGATCCGGCTTCACTCCGCTGCTCTTTCTACAAGTGGTCCTTGTATAACAGTTTACCCGAGTGATGAGGTGCACGTTTTTCAAAGTGTAAGACATCATGCGAAATTATTTTCATAGCAAAATATTTTTAAAATTTCTGACTTCGAGTTACCTATCTCGAGCCGATATGACTTCTTGGTCGCATATAGCATATTAATAAACTGCTATGGAATTAAATCATACGATCAGGGTCACGGATTTATAAGAACATAAGACCAGCATTTTTGCAAGGTCAGCAAATGTTCGTTCAGATCTTATGGAAATTCAAATCTCTGATTTCGGGGCCGGGAAAATTGAACGAATGATCTAAATTTTCGCGTTTCTTTTTGACCTAGTTGAGGCTTTACTGGTGTATCGATGGGATGATAGTATTATAGTGAATGATGATGTGCACGTTTTTCACAGCGTAATGACATCGCGTGAGATTATTTTCATTATTTTCTATTTTCATTATTTTCATAAATCATAAGATCAGGGTTTTCAGGTCGACCAAGCGAGTAGAAATTAGAAATTCTACTCAGACTTGACAAGGAACTTCTGTTACGCAGCGCGTACTGTTATTCCCGGCAGAGTCAATCGAACCCAACCGAACTGTATTTCAATCGAACTCAATCGAACTAAATCGAACTCATTCGATTGAGTTCGGCAATCGAACCAAATCGAACTCACACCAAAAAAGTTGGACAATCGAACTAAATCAAATTTTCGATTTTGAAGTCTTGATTTTACGTAAAACTGGTGTTGAAACTCCGACAATAACAAGCTTTTCGAGGCTAGAGTTACTTCAGTATAACTCGTAGTTTTCGTGTTTTCGAGACCACATAACATAATCTTTGTTCAAGCGAATTTACTCACCGAACACAGTCGAACGCAATCCCGATTGGACTGCGTTCGATTGAGTTCGGCTGCCGAACCCAAGCGAACCCAATCTAATCGATTGAGTTCGGTTCGGTTCGATTTCTTCGATTGAGTTCGATTGCTCCGAAAGTCGAACTCACACAAAGTTCGGTGTTCGATTTGGTTCGATTGCAGAACTCAATCCACGGATTGACTTCGATTGGGTTCGACTGAAATCGATTTCCGAACGTTCGATTGATTATGACGGATGTTATTAGAAACCAAGTCGTAGGGTTTTTCTTTTGGAATCGAAAGAATTGTGCGACGAAGTATGTGGTTTCCCCACGCTACTACACGTATAGCGAAAACATGCTGGCCGGGTAATATCAGTAAGACTTTGAAGCTCGACTGGTTCATAGCTCTCGGCGCTTTAAAACTCCGATTTCTGTAGCTGTTATTTCTGTTATCAGAAACCAAGTCGTAGGGTTTTTCTTTGGGAATCAAAAGAATTGTTGTGCGACGAAGTATGTGGTTTCCCCACGCTACTACACGTATAGCGAAAACATGCTGGCTGGGTAATATCAGTAAAGACTTTGAAGCTCGACTGGTTCATAGCTCTCGGCGCTTTAAAACACCGATTTCTGTAGCAAGAAGCGCCTGGATGTGTTGTTGGTCCATCGCAGGTCAATTCCCAGCATTCTCTCAGGTTGCCCCAACAGTTCAGCGGTATCTATTTTTACTCTCGATTAGAGAGTATAAATGTTAGACTCAATTGTCTTGCCCAAGAACACAACAAAATGAACCCAACAAGGTTTCGAAGCCGAACCGCTCCGGAATTCAAATCCCAATTTTTATATCTCCATGCGTTTGGCTATCTAGTAATTAGAGTTGTGATAAAAATCTGTGCAAGTAAACGCCGGGCGTTGCTCACTAGATCATGCATCAGCCGGAAAATCCGTGAGCTCTTGAAAACGGTTACTGGTCTAATTTTCAGTCTTAGATCTTTGTGCTTCGCGCTCGCGCTCGCGATCGCAATCTTTGCTCGCGATCTTTGTGCTTCGTGCTCAATGTGTAAGCGGATCGCCGGACAGCGGTCCTTCCGTGTCGTGAAAACTCGTGAAAAAACCGCGGAAAAACCGGACAAGGTATGGCACGTCCTTCAGAAAATAGCAACATCTGTTTTGGAAAAGTAGTCAGGTGGCCTGAATTGCTTTTCTTTCCTTGCCGGGTCCGGCATTAATGCAAAATCAACAAACTGTAAGCCCGCCATTTTGATCTGGTTGTCCGCTTTTTCATCCGATTAATCCACCTCGCTAGGCGTTTTAAATTTAACTCTTAGTTTATTCTTTCACCAACAATCAGGGCCAGGATTTCTGTCAAGTTGTTAAACTATTTAACTGGTGTGCACCAGCTACACTATAGCCAGCCTCACGGATGGCTTTAAGGAAAAGCACATTTTTTTAAAAAAACTTCTTTTTTTTCCATAATTCTGTCCAATTGACCTATCTAAGTCGAGCAAAAATGACCAAAATGTGGGCAGATAAAGGGTCTTATGTATTTTAGGTTAAGAGGCAAAATAGCAGCGCAAAGATTAAGTGATGATATATTACATTCCTAGCTGGTATCGTATTCGTGGTTGTTACTGCACTTACTAAAGATAGTTTATTAACTTCGTGGTTAGAAGTTTATCACATTTCTTGTTGGTCAATTGCATTGGTGGTATTACGTTTAACAATTAGATTATGAGCTCGAAATTTCTATCGGCCTCATCAACTATCACGTCATAGAAATCTACAGCTAATAATCTAATTGTTTTAGTGGAATCCTTACTGAAATTCCAATCATTTTTCAATGCAGTATTAAACTTCATGCTTTAGCAAAGTAGCGCGGATTGAATTGTTATTTGAAACTTGTATTTGTGCACGTGCGCTGACTGGTTCACCGAAAAATTGTGAGGTTTCAAAGTCCCATAACGGTTAGTTTCTCTTTTTTTTTACGGTTCTTGAGAATTAAATTATCCAGTGATATTTCGAAATCTTCTTCGAAATCTTAGAGAAACTAGAAAACGTTGACACTGTCCGGAAGACCCCTTTGTCCACTGCATTCAAATGGCTCACAGTATACGAGTAGCTCAGCCAATCAGATTTCAACATTTGCATTAGTAATCTACTAATTGTGGCATGCATGGGTGACACAAGTGCCTTTTGGGTAGGAAGGTTTTAGTTGCTCAAGTTCAGTCGGTTTTTTCTGTGTAACAACGAGAGTAGTGTAACACGAAAGATCCGTTTTTACCACATTTCAAACTCCGAGAAGATAGCTAAAATCATGACGCCGAACAGAGTATTTGTCAAAATTTTGGAGGTGGTCGGAAATGTGCTAATGGGGTTATGAGGGAGACTACAGTCTTCCTGACTGTAATTATGCACCCTATTGAAAAAAGTGTAATTTCGAAGCACTTCCTTAAACGTTTTTATCTTGCACATAACCTGACATAGGATCTCTCATACTCATTAAGTTTTTATCATTTTCCAGTAAATATTCAAATTTTAAAAGTACCGTATGTCAATTAGTGTTGCTATTTTACTAGTGTCCCCAATTAGTCTAACTCAAGAGTTATAGCCTGAACATAGCCTTTTAATGTAATCTTTCTGTTTTTGAACAGATGGAAACTTCACCATGAAGAGATATCTCTGCCCACGAAAGATCTCACCAAATATCTGTTCCTTTCGCATAATTTTAAACCTATTTATTCTACTGAACATCATAACAGTGGTATCGACCATCTACTACTTGATTAGCAAGCAAACCTTCGCTCGATATACAGGCCGTCATCCATTTAATCCAATCATGAAATGCAGAAACCTCACCAGCCTACAAATGGATCAACTACTTAATCTTTCTTACAAAGTTCATCAGGTTTTGGACGAGCTAGGAGTAGAGCATTGGCTCATGTACGGCTCACTCCTGGGAGCCCTTCGTGGCCACGCTCCTCTTGTCTGGGACGACGACGCCGACATCGGTTTGGACGGAGATGGCACATTAAAGGCGCTCAGCAAAACTGAATTCATTGAAAAACTTAAATCTGTTGGCGCGAAACACGTAGGTGATTTTTGCTCCCGAGATGGCCTAATTACGATTCAAGATGGAAACTCGGAGTTTTCCGTCGATATGGTGGTTTTTAACAGATCAGGAAAATGGATGAAGAGACTTGGCTGGGCAACATGGCTGTTCTATTTTCAGTACAATAATTTCCACACATTTCCAGCTAAGCTTATTGAACAACCACTACCTAAGATTCAATTTGGGTTTTTCAACATTTCAGCGCCCAGGGGTGGAAAAGAGATTTTGAAGTACATCTATCCTACTGACTGGTGGAAAGTTGTAAAGCCTCCGGAGTGTTAATATGTCGGCTTATTTGTTTGAGTCTGGCAATGCAAAAACACACTCAAAGTGATCTACTGACGATCTGGAGCTATTATCTAAGAAAGTGACATCTCGTAGTTCTCAAAACCCTTTCAAGGTCCTCTACCAGATGCCAAAAATTGTCGCTTGCTTGTCTTCTCGCGCGGGAGGGTAGTCTGTATATCTCTGGATAGGGGTGTCCCGTTGAGGCAATGAAACCCTTACCCAAATCTACGCCATGATCAGCTTGATTTTGCAACCCTTATTTAGACTAGGTACCAAATACCCCCTACCCTATCCCAGACTAGCAGGAACTTTATTACTATCGTAGTCCAGCATACGCAGACTAAACCAATATCTTACAAAGTCACTTCCGAGTTTCGGTTTCTAGTATAGAAGCCCGGGTAAAGAACCCTGTTCTACACT